TCTAGCCTGTACCCAAGGGGTGCAGCATGAGAGGATGGGGTGGGAAGAGACATGGGGGGAAAGGGGCACCATGGCACGGAGATGCTGAGGAAGAACACCCAGCTCTGCGGTCACCGTGGTCCCATTGATACCATCCCCACCAGTGGGATGTCCAGGACCCCCGTGACAGCTCCAGCCCCCATCTACCTACCTGGTACTTGCCATTAGCACCCAAAAGGTCTCCTTCTTTCAGCCAGGTGACGATGGGCTTGGGGTTCCCGAACGCCATGCAGGTCAAGGTGATGCTGCTGCCTTCCTTCGCCTCTACTTACTGCGGCGGTGTCTCCGTGAAGGTGGGGGGAGCTGGGGGGCAGAGGAGACCACTGTGACCCCCCCATGGCCGCTGCGGGTCTGGGGAGGGCACAGGGACAGAGGGAACACGCTGCACATCCCTATGGAGGGGGCTGGACCGCCCCAAAAGCGAGCAGGGCTGCAGGGCTGGGGATAACACCCCTGGAGGGTATTTCACACGCACCCCAGCCCCTGTCCCCTCTCCTCCCCAGCAGCTCCAGGGCTTGCACCACGTCCTCCCCCCTGGCTGCACATTAAGTTGCTATTGTCAAAACATGGGAAAACACCGCAGTGCAGATCGAAATGCTCCTTCCTGATTCCAGAGGCTGGCAGGATTACAGCCCGCCCCCAATTACCAGCACTTGTTAAAGCCCACTTTGGAGGAAGACAGGTTGGCAATTTAATCTGCTCGGGGATAAAAAGGAGAATTACACTTTGTTTCTCCCCAGATGAGTCTTATTTTCCCCTTAGAAAATGAAGCATTGTAATGCACTGAGAGGAAAGCCACGGCCTTCCCCCTGACAGCAACTCCTCAAGCTGGGAGGATTACGGTTAGTATTAAGCCCCATCCTGCATAACCCACCCCCAAAACCACCCCATTTTGCAAAGGGGGTCGAGCCCAGGGTGGCCCAGAGGTGCTGACAAGCCCTTCCAGCCCCTCGGGGTGGTGGTTTGCAGCATCCCTGCGTGCAGTGGAGGTGAAGCAGGCATCCTCCTCCTCCTCTTGCTTCCCTCGCAGGCTGTGAGCTCATTAGCAGGCAGCAGCAGGGCAGGGACAGGCTGGGGCACCGCATGGCTTGCAAAGCTCCTGCTCACTAATTGGGCTCAATTAGGTGGCTCTGGTCCATGCTGCAGCCCAGCACCCCCTTGAAAGGTTGAATTAGTCACTCAAGGTCAGGCAAGACCAAGGAGCTGCTGGTGGTGCCCACATCTCCTCTGCAGCAATAGAGGCAGAGCCCTGCTGCTGGGCTCAACATCAAGACCTCTCCTGATGTGGAGAACAGTCGGTGATGAGTTTAAGACACAGCCTTAATAAAATGGAGAAGTCATTTGAGTAAATCTGAATTTCAAGAGAACAAAGATGTGATGTTCCGAGCTGCTTGTTCAGAGGAGATTCGTTCCCAGCCCTGTTCCTTGATGTCTCTCCTTTCAACAAGCACCTCATAATTAAACTGCTGAATCCCTAATAAAAGATTGTCCCTTTCTAAGGCACACCCTGGCTGGAGCAGTCACCCTGGATGGCTCCAGCCTTGTCTGCAACGTGTGTGCTCTCTGAGACCCCACTTGCAGCACTGGGTGCACTTCTGGTGTCCTCAACATCAGAAGGACATGGAGCTGCTGGAGCAAGTCCAGAGGAGGCCACGAGGATGCTCAGGGGCTGGAGCACCTCCCGTATGGAGACAGGCTGAGAACATTGGGGCTGTTCAGCCTGGAGAAGAGAAGCTGCTGGAGACCTCAGAGCAGCTCCCAGTGTCTGAAGGGGGCTACAAGGATGCTGGAGAGGGACCTTCATCAGGGTCTGGAGTGATAGGACAAGGGGTGATGGGTTCAAACTGAAACAGGGGAAGTTCAGGTAGGATCTAAGGCAGAAGCTCTTCCCTGTGAGGGTGCTGAGGCGCTGGCACAGGGTGCCCAGAGAAGCTGTGGCTGGCCCCTCCCTGGCCGC